GGTATTAAAATACAAGCATTACACATTGCCCTGGACTCATATTATACATAGTCATAATAATATGTACCTACCTACACATAAATGAATATTATAGGACTCGTGAACATACATATACAATACGACGCGGGTCACATTATCAATTATTATTATTTTAAACGTGCCACCCGCTGTACACGGTTCGCGGTTATTAATATTAAACGTCATCGATTTGTGTACGATAATACAATATTAATATAATATAATAATTCAATATATTAATATTTTAAACCCAAATAACGTTCGATTGCGGTGCCGCTGCCGCGTCGACCGTGCGTCTTTGCCGCAGCCGTCATCGTCGTCGGGTTCGCGCAGGAATGCAGTTATCGAATTTTAAGGAGGCCAAACTGGTCGTGCGCCGTTGTCTCCGGACCGGAGCAGCGCGTACCACTTATTATTATTATTATTTTTTTTTTGCGGTGGCCGTCCCATTTCGCGCCAACCGCCGCCGCCGCCTCAAGACGGATTAATAGCTGATAAATAATTACGTTATTATTTGTAGGTAGGTACGACGTTATTATCGGACGCGTGGCAGACGAAATCGTTTCCTGTCCCGTTATATTATGTTCCTCGCCAAAATAGTATATGGGTACAATATTATTATCGTCGACGTTTCTGCACGATTGCAGTGTCGTCATCCGACCCACCACAATATTCGACTGCATAGCAATATGGCCAATCCAGTGTTATTAATTATTCAAACACGTCTAAAAAATTCCAAAACTATATTCACCGTTCCTAGCGCGATGAGTGATGACCCATCGGTAGCGAATTCGTGGCGAAACGATCATATTATAATATTATTACACCCACACCGACCACCAGGGATTTTCAGAATAAAGAGCCACGTTTCCGAGTCGGTCACCACGGTGGGAAATTTCTCAAAAAAAGCAATAGAAAACGGGAAGCAGTAGGAAAATATTGGCAAAATATTTTGATAAATCCGTTATTTCTGTATAATAATAATAACACGCCATACGGTAATGCTCTTTTGACGGTTTTTTTTTAAAACCGATGCTGAGGGCCTCTCGGATTGTACAACATAATATGATCTTATACAGGACGAATCACTTTTAAGTAGATATATATTATATTTTAAATATTTAGATTTGTTATGCCATTTGCGCCGTTTGTTCTCCATTGATACCAACATATTTTTTTTCAAATTAGAACCACCCATTCCCCTATAAATTGTTAATAAATTTTACTTGGTTATATAAACCGGAATTTGAACAAGTATTTTTTGAGCTATTTAACTAAAGATCTAAGGATAATATATTCACAATAATACGAATACTGAATACATTTGGAAGACTTGGATTCTTATTATAAACATTTTATTGTTTGTAAAATGTACCTGAATATAAAAAATACTACAGCCAATATTACATATTATTATATTTCATACTATTTTTAAGGACTACCTATTATCCATAATATATTATTTATTTAAATAACCCAGAAACTACTCATATGAATTTTGATTTAGATCCATATACATTTTCCATTAAGTAATTTGCCTAATAATTTACAATAAAAACGGTTAGTTTTCACTTGAAATAATACATATTTTGTATTGCCGCTGCAGTACATTCCTTAAATTGTACAACCAATATAAATAATTGAAAAAACTTAAAATATTATGGTTCTTAGATGTATATAACAATTTCAAAGAACAGAATTTGAGTAAAATGGGGGTGAGCATGGTCAATAGCCATGTAAATAATATTATTCAGTTTTGTTTTTATTCCCTGGACGACACCACAATTATTCGACGTGCGATGGGTATTTATAACATATATTCGTCGTCTTCTTTACCGGACAATTTATTGCCCTATTTATTTTACCTACGACAGGGTCTGTGAATATTTCCGGCTTTTCATTAAGGTCTTTATAGCAGGCATAAATTCGCCAAATATTCCATTGCGGCTGTAAACCCACCAACACCCACACTACCGACAGGCCAAAACGCGGTTCGGACGGGTCATCGTGGTATAAACCTATAATTAAAATATTGCAATACCGGACTGTGGTATGCACCAAGTTTAGTAGGCGTAGTAATGTACTGTGCACTGCGGACCGCGGAAACGCCATAAATAAATATAAAATTGACTACAGCAATAATAAATCGATTTACACATTGGTCGCATTTTAATGTTATCTGTGCGCGCGCGTGCCAAGAACGTTGACCTATACCTACGCCTCAATGTTTAATAATATTATGTACACCACACATATGCATATATATAGACATTATGCAAAGACGCCGTTAAAATAATAATACCACCGGTGGGTTAACGGATCTTCGGTAAATGTATATTATTATTATTATTATTGCGTTATTGCTATTCGCCAATATTGACGTGCAAGTCAATTTGTTTTTTTCGGGGCGTTCGTTTTCTCGGTAAAACGCTATTTTGTATATTTTACAACACTACAGACTTAGTTTTTTTTACACATTTCCAGAAATTGTATTTTGATAAATAGGCGATCAATATTATTTTTATGTACTCCAAAACAGTTTATAATGTTATATTTTTCATTAAACTTTGTTGTGGTATTACAATTAAATATTTTTGAACCGATGTTTTACTAGTTATAAGCATTTCAAGTTTAAATTATCGTAGTAGTAGTGCAAAAGTTTGGGGCGAATCAGACACATCACCACAACATAATTATGTAACTTTAAATGCTCAAAAGTTATAACAATAAACAAAGGCTTAAAATGGTTCAGGTTTTTTTCAACATATTTCAAAAAATATTATGCTTCGGAGTATGAAATTAAAAACAACGGCTATAATTTCTTGCAAAAAAATGTCTACAATCGTAGCAAACCAGAAACAGCTATTGATTTTTTTTTCCACAAAAATTATTGTCATAAACACTGTTATAGTAAAAAATTAACGAAACACAAAAAATATTCTAAAAAACATATCAAACTTTGCATTGAGAAACACATAGTCGTTTAACGAAAACCGGAGTAGGTATAGTTACAATACGTTTTGTATTATTGTTAATTTTTATTTAAATGTACGATCTACTGTTAGGCATGATAATAATATTAATAATAATATTTATTATTATTATCGTGACTCAGGTGGCGCAGCCGACCAAAATACGATATTATGATATTATAATCCGAGATTAAATTGGAAAAACGATCGATGAGCCCACATTTCACCCTACATAAGTAGTTATAAGTACTTATAAGACGTATTTAAAGTTTAAATGAGCCGAATTGTTGTGGACTAACATTTTGTGGGGTACCAATGTGCTATTCCGCTACTCTCATCTAAACTTTAAATACTGTCTTATAAGTTATAACTAATCGAATACTCGTTAGAAATTAAATTTTTATACATCCAAGTTTTTTAAAAAATAATGGTCTATTTACATATTATAGGAATATGATTTCTTATTATAGGTATATTATCAAGTTATAAATTTATGACGAAATTGTGAAAAATATTTTTAAAAACGTTACCTAATACTTTTCGACATAAATATATAATTTACAATAAAAAGAATCATCCTATATATTAACCACGACGTCCCAGCCACCAAAAGTGTGCGCACACTCAATCAACAGACTAATTTACCGCACGAGCGACGACGTGCTGCGCTTGCATTTATCGTCGTCTTCTTCGTTGTTTAATATTTTTATCATTATTATTATATTATAATATGGTTCTACGGACGTCTTTCCATGCTTATACCTGCCAATGCATATTATATTGGCTTTTATACAACCATTTTTTTTTCAATTTTCATCGAATACTTTTCCGAGTACGGTGCTCGAAAAGCCTTGTGTAGTGTTACTCCGTTTATACTATAAAGATCGTGGAAATTGAGTGTGGTAAGCGATGCGATGAAGTGGTCGCTTTTTTTCTCCGGTCTACATTTTTTTTTCGTCAGTCATCAAGTGTGGTTTCTACCAAACTCTGCTATGAGCATCGTTTCTTGAATTCAATGATTTATCCGTCGAATTTCGAGTGTGAAAACGCGCACTGTCGTCGCATTATACGAACGAACGATAAATCCATGTAGATTAACGGCCGTCGCGCCGTTGCGTTATGTCTGCCATAAGATTAATACGACTTTCTTTTTTTTTTATCGAACTTTTTACAAGTATCCGTCTATGCCACGGACACATATAATAATATAGTCCTGAGCTTTACTCCGATCTGTGGCAGGGGAGGGGGGATGGAGTATGACTAATGAATATGAATTTAACAGTGCGAGGTCCGTGGTTTATAACGTAGTCTGGCACGTTTTCGGGAAACTTATTTCGTTGATACTCGAGACTCTATAATACTACGCGATTATGTATCACATGTATTTTTTATGTTTATGCCGAGTGCGGAAATCTTTAGTTAAAACCAAAATTTCCCAATATCTAAAATCTTTGTCCCCATTATTTTTTGTTTTTCCGTCACATAATCGTCGGCTTAACCGACCGACCGCAATTTACCGCCCATTGAGTGCTCGTGCTTTATATACCTACTAATACACTATCGAACTGAGTACGAATGAAACCTGCCCATGTCTCAAAACGTTTTGGCGTAGATCATCATTATCATTACCTATAATACTATGTTACTACTATAAGATACTATTTTCATCATTAATGTGACAAAACGGCCCAAATTAACCCAGTTTGGGGGGGATTTATTTATATTTCTACATTATTTGATAAGTATACTCGTAGTACATATTTTATAATTGATAATATACTAGTAGTTTTACTATCAGTATCAAAATAAATGTTTGCCTAGAAAATTAGGTGTATGTGGGGGAGGGTCGGAGCTCCCTTATTCCATATTTGACCAAACTACATAATCTCACCACCGAGACGAATATTCGTGCTCGCTTCGTGTGGACGGCGGAGGGACAGCGGTGATAAATGGGCGGCCCAAATTTTCCGGAAAATTTTTTTGTTTATTAACGATTCCGTCGGTCTTCAGGTGCGATGGTCAGCAACCCGGTGACCTTGCCGTCTTCGTACGTCACCAAGTATAACAGGTTCGTGGACAACATACTAGGCCGTATCAACAAGGTGCTGAGGAAGAACTACGACCCGGTCAACGTGCGCCTGCAAACGCCCACGCAGACCACTGACCACAAAAAGAAGGGTACCACCTCTCAAAAACCAAAAACCAAACCCAAAATGGAGTCCAGAGAAAGGTACCACTTTTAACCTATATACCTATTATTAAACATAATGTATGGTTGTATTATATAGATTATATAATTTATTATTTATATGTAGAACGTAGGTATATATTATAAAATGTTTTGCATACCAGTCAATTATTATTTTTAATAGTATAATAATAATGATGTATATTTTTTAAATGGGGAAAAATTAATAGTTAGTAGGTATAATTACTACAGTTATGGGTTCTCAACTTTGGTTTGGTTATTGCTTCTCAACATTTGTTTTAACTGATATTTACTAATTAAGTGATGCCTACCTTTTGAGAACTTAAAACTGCAAATAATTATGGAATACTTTGTCTACGTCACTGACAATTCTAATAGGTATATGGCTGTATCATACATTTAATGAGTATATGCAAATTATACTGGAAAAGTTAATACCTAGATATATGCCGAATACCGAGCCGAATACCAAAGCAAATATACCTCCGGCTCCTAAGTATCAATACACCACAGACATTATTGTAACTAGCTGTCCCACCCGGCGTTACCAGTGCCAAAGATCTGTGTTTTATATAAAAGTCTTAAAAAATGTATGTTTCATATTTTTACTAATTATAAAATGTAACAAAGGACAACAACCTATTTATAAAAAAAAATATTTCTTTTTTGGTGAGCTGAAAAATAATTCAAGTGTGAGCTATCCTAGTTAAGCTATAATCACCATTCAAGTCTCGAGGTATCTATTGATATAACTTTTAGAAAAAACGCCAAAACGGTGCAGTAGTAACTTCGGATAAACCAACATCCATTTTTAGCTGTACCTACCCATAACTTGACATCATCCGTGAAAAAATAAAAACAATATAAAATGTAAAGCTATATAAGTGTATCTTGGTTTTAGTTTTAGTTCACTGGTAAATGGGCGTCGGTATGAGGTAATTTGACCGATATGGACAGTTCGCTTTTAGGGATTGGATATAGCACTTGATATAAATCGAACATGGTTCAAAGTTCAAAGTCCCTGATATATCTAAGAACAATAAATTTGAAATTTTCACAAAATCGGTTCAGCAGTTTTTGAGTATATAAGCTACAAACATACATTCAACTCTCATATTTGTTATAAGATATAATATCTTTATTCGAGGCCCCGAATGTAGTATGTAACGCGATGGTTTCATGTGTGCTTTTACCTCATCCGCCCGAGTAATCAATGGCAATCATTCAGAAACAAATAGATACTAATTTCTACTAATTATTTCTTCTTTAATGCTGTATTATAATCTGTAAGAACTAATATGTAACCGATGGCAACCATTTATAAATAATCAACAAATTTCGATTTTCGTCGTAAATCTCAAAATCTGATCACCTATTCTTGGTAAATGTTTCTAATTTTTCTTTCCTTAAAAATCTCATTCTGACCATTACGGACATAAAAAAAAATAATGATCCAAATCGGTCCAGCCGTTCTCAAGTGATGTGGTTAAAAACAGACAACATTTAATTTTCTATAATATAGATATTAAATAATGCTTAAGTCCGTTGATGAATGTTAGCAGATTAGAGAAATGTAGTATCACCGGAATCGAAACAGTATCAATCGTGATAAAAATATTATTGGATAAGTACACTCAAACTCCCAAAGTGCTGAAATGGTCGTAACACTCAAAAAAGTTTTACTTATAATTTCTAAATCACTTTTTAATTTTAATATAAATATTATAAATTAATAATAATAATAATAATAATAATAATAATAGGTATGTACCTAATATTAAAAAATTGTATTTGGATATTTATAAGCGAATTATTGTAGAATAATCAATAATATAACTTAGAAGTCCTAGACCCTAGCCGACGAATTTTTTAGCAAATGTATTCTGTATTAGTGTATTCACTATTCAGTATTCAGTATTGTCATGGCATTCATTTGTGATGCATTGCCCCGTCGTTCGTCGTAGTAAAATAAAAAATATTAAACGTAATATAATATAATATGTACCTAGTGTTTATTGACACACTGTAAACTGTTAATCAAATTTAAAATAATCAACTATAACACAGATAATCATATTATGTATTATAAAGTATACCTAGTTCAGAAAAAAATATCTTCTTATTAAATTATGTTTAAAATGTTGTCTACATAACATATGGGATTAGTGTACAAATACTTCAGTGCAAAACACAGCGATAAGAAAAAATTTATCTTTATCTGCACTATTTCAATATTAATTGGAGTAAATAAAAAAAAATTATATAGTTCCTAAGCCCTAATTATACTAATATTTCTGGAGACTGAAATAGACGGCGACGGTACAAGATCAATACTGAAAGTTTTGAGTGTTCAAATGCACACAAATCATAGTGTCGGTAAATGTTCAAGATTGAGAGCTCTGTAATACACTTTTGTTTATATAATTTTTTTGTATAATTATTAACATATTATCTCCTCTTCACTGTCACTCCTTCAAATTATAGACCTTGAATAACCCACCCCTTACCCTTTGTGCGCACCACGGCACCCCGGTCAATATATTATGTGAAATTCCCTATCTCTTGCTTGGTTTTCATGTTATATCGTCCCAGCGAACACTCGTCTCTACTCTTCTCATTTTTTTTCGAAAAATCGTATTTCAATTCCCAATCCCATCACGGTACCCAATTTAATTCAAAAGTAATATTCTCAAAAACACTGGTCTCGTTAATACAATTTATAAATAAATGTTATATAATATACAGATAAAACGGACGACAGTTTAAAAAATACACAACCACTATTTTATACACATTTGGTGTTATCATACAAACAATACAATACGTAAATAAGATATGATATAATACTTCGTTGTTGAGTAATAGAGTTAAAACATAATTATTTTAAATCAAACGCGTTGATAAATATTTGCCAGACATTTGCTCTGTTTGATTTAATTAATAAAATTAAAATATTTTACTTTATAGCTTACAATGATATATTAGGTAGTAGATACCTACCCATTTATGTTATTTGAAATGCCTATCTGAAAGTAGAAAAAAATATTAAAGCTAGAGTTTTGGCGTATATGATGACAATATCGCTGTTATCACTTCATCTCTCGACGATATAATGATAGTATGTTATAATTAGAGTTTGCTATATTAGTTGATTTAAATTTTAATTGCATATTTTTTTGAATGTTCTAAAATGTTTCTCACCTAACGCAAAATATAACGAATGTACCTATCTAAAATCTAAATTTAATATTATATTTAACAAAAACTATTTTTAATCGGGTCTTAAATGTTTTTGGGGATTTTATTTAGGGAATTTCATTAAGTTTTGTAATATTAAGAGTGCATTAAGGGGCCTGCTCGCGATTTTTCAAATTTTCCGCAATTCTATAAAATTTGAAAATTAAATTTTATATTTTAGTTGCCACCTCAATTATAAGACTTTTCCACTAATCTACTACCCAATACCTATTTAGGGGGGGTTGATAGGGTGTATTATATAGGTCAAAACACAGTTTACAGGAAAAACTCTCACACCTCGTAGATTGGTCCGATTTCCGTAATTTTTTTTTTGTTAGATAGAGGAATATTTTTTACAGGGCGCATTGGACTTCGATTTTTGATTACGTCGCTAAAACAAAAAATTATACAAAAACTAAAAAGTTGTAAAAATTGATTAAATTCAAACTTGTAACATAAGACTTAGAAAAATAATGTTGAAAATCCAAGTCCAATGCGCCCTGTAAGAAGTCTTCCTCTATCTAACAAAAAAAAAATTACGGAAATCGGACCAATCTACGAGGCGTGAGAGTTTTTCCTGTAAGGCATGTTTTTGAGCAAAAAAACAGGTCGCGTGCAGGCCCCTTAAATCGTATTTTCATAAGGCATTTATCTTGTATTTTAGATCATTTAAATGCACGCCATTTGTTTAAGTTGAACAATTGCTTTCGAATTTTAATTTCAGTTTCACCCAGAGTCGTTTATAATTTGTCGACAGCGTAACGACACGTGTTCGTACAAATTCATTTTACAACTGCAGCAGTCAAATTGCACACATATACTTATTACATATATATATATATACATGTTTACAACGATGATGGTAATGCAGTTGTGTTTAAAACGAGCGTATCTAATGTTCATTTTTACACGACAGTGTATAGCGTATATTGTCGCGAGTTTAAGAACGTGCTGAAAAGTGTGCATATAACAATATTATATACATGTAGTAAACGTCCCAGAAAACCTATTACCAAGTGTACTCACACAATACAGTAGTAACGCTCGTTCTATGTACAACAATCGAAACGTCACGACGAATGCGCGTCGCGAACGATTATTCAAATAACAATGCGCTGTTTTCAACTGCACGGAGCCTAAAATACAATATTATATTATTTATTCTAAGGTTTTTTAATACACGCACTTCAGCTACAGTTGTTAGCGAGCCTTCTCTTCTACCCGAGAACACTGCACAGTGTTGTGATGTTGAGACCAGTATCCGCCACTATACCTAGTGTGAAAAAGAAATATACTAAACGGTCGCGTGAAAATGTGAAATTATACAAAAGGGTTTCTCAGTTAGAACGGGAAAAAGTCCAAAGCTTTCGGGTTAAAAGTCAGTTTTTAACTTGCCTGATATCGATAGGTGAAGGCCCAATTCGATATATTTTTCCATTGTTCCTATTTCACTCCAGAATTGCTCCAGAATAATTACATAACGAAAACACTGACGTGAGTAACGTATGTTATCATCAGTTTATACCCAAATAAATACCAAATAAGCACGATTCACATATTATTATAATACTACAGAGTAGACTATATATCGACCTGTTTGAATCCCATATTTTTTTTTATCTACGATTTTGGAGCAATTTATGTATACGACATTGGGACTATCGCTGTGTTCGAAATTTATTTAAATATCGACGACGAGTACGTTACACGAGTACTTTACATTTATTTTTCTACACCAACCTTCGCTAGTTCTCCGATAATAAAAATAAAGACGAATGTACAGGTGTGTTTCTAGATACCTACCTAATTATTTTAAATTAGGGTTTTTTTATAACTTTTACCATTTTAAAATTTTGATTTTTCAATTTTTGATATCATATTATCTTCCCCATTTATCACAAACACAGGAATCACTACAAAATAAGTGTTGATTAAAAGTTTAGTTAAATAGGTATATCATTGTTTTTAAAACTTTCCGTTCACGTCCAATGTTTTTAAAAGACAGACTTATAAAAGATTAGTTGGTATAATTATGTGTTGTTAACTAAATTTAATTGTCTTAACTTTTTTTATTCTGGTCGAAATACAATACTCCTGTAGGCACAGACACAGACAGTTGCCGAACACGATACTATTGTATACGTCTAATTTAACGCCGATGGACTCGTTTCGTTGATTCGGGACGCAACTCGTAAGCACATCACTTTAGTTTTCACGCGACACACATATACGTATTACTTTGTGTCTGGAATTCGGGACACACGTTATATTATTATATTTTAGGTGTCTATTATAATATCTTAGACGCCACGATGTTGGGTTCAAACAATTTCACGCCGACTGCAGACCGTACTCAACACAACGATGCATATTATATTATTATATAAATTTAAATCTCGCACGCTAATTTAAAATGTTAATAAATCGTAATCTGTCATATTTTTTTTAACTGCAACCGGAGACGCGGGAAGTAAGACTATACGAAATTCTTTTTTTTTACGAGCATTGGTACATTTTGCGGATAATATTTTATACCTACCGTGCTATATAATAATATTTTCGAGTTATTTCCTGCAAGACTCGAGGGATTGATTTTATCGTGAATAATTTATAACTCTACGGATAAATAAAATATATAATATGTGTATATTATTATATCATATATAACTTTGTTACCACCTGCTGCTGCCACCGCTTATCATACATACGCTTTCTCGGAACAACGGTGCAAATCCACAACCTGCAGGCATTTATCCAAAACCGTATTAGACGCCGGCCAAATAGGTATGTCGAGACGTGGCGTGCGAGTAACCACAACTGACAGCGACATTATATTATACTTACTATACTACTATAGTTATATTATATACGATATACCTATTACCTAGGTTCATATATATTGCATAGGTACATGTACATTGTTTGTGATGCCGCGGGGAAGAACATAACGATTCTTCGATTGCTAAATAATATATTATATTTTGTGTATTGTAGTTAGTTTTCGAAATTGAACAGTGTGAAAACTATATATGATAAAAAAATCACCAGGTTGGATTAAATACAATATCTTCTGCGTTTGACGTTTTTCGGCGTTGTATAATATCCGGAGAAAAAAAACAAAAAGTTCGGCCGTACGAAAGGGTTTATTACTTTACAGCACAATAGATTCACACATTAAGGCTCGACGGCAATATTATTTTCTACAATACAAAAACAATATCAATTTCACCAGTCCAAACGCCCGATAATTCAAGCGTAACTTTTTGCTTTTAATGGAAACGAGGATACTTTTTTTTTTCATTACGTTATTCGTTTGACGGTGTTTCACTATTATTATTATTATTATTATTATCACTATGATTTTTATTTGTTTTCCTCTTTCGTTCTTTGACAACAAAAAAAATTAATAAAATAATATCGCAAAATAGCATTTATACTGATTGGCGTTCGACATTCGCCGTCATCAGCAGACAGCAAGTTCAAACTGTTAACATGCAATTAAATATTATTTGCGTCGTGTAGATATTTTACAGGGGTTCTATTTATACCACATATTATAATATTATGCAGTAACTTTGCGATGTTGCCCTCCTTCAATACTAATCTAGATCGGTTAGTTTCATATTTTCATGAAGTATAAGTCTCGTGGTCTCGCTTTCAATGCTAAATAGCAAACGTAAGAAATTATCATTTACTCGGTCATCAGTTCTAATAATATCCTAAAATTATTTGTTTAACAATTAACCTGTACCCTCGGCTGATTTGAAGTTTTTAACAAAGCGTCTTGCTGATGAGATTGATTCTCTACACTGCTTACTCAAATTAATTTCAGAGTTTCCACTTGAAAAACGAGAATCCGTTTTCCATTATAATAATATATTCCTCCACTAATTATGTTTATCATCCGTTATCGCATCTTTTGCAACTTGCAATTTAAGACCACATTTGGCATTTGATGCCTGTTTTATTATTCAAGTGTAAATTGTTATTGTAATTTTTAGTTAATTAAAGCTAAATAATTTATATTATTTATTATTAATGTGTACACCTATTCTTGTTTCGTTTGGCTGTGGCCAGTGCAATTAAAAATAAATAAATAAACAAATATATATCACGTAGGTTTGTACATCATGTAAAATCATATAATTATTTGTTCTAAGCGTCCGACAGACGGAAGTGTTGAAAAATGGCACAGTAGCAGCTCCGGCGACGGAAAAGTCTGCGACCCCTGTTCCACATCATCCGACTGCAGTGAACGGCACTTCGTCCCGGGCGCAGCGCAAGCACCACAAACACGATAGGACGTCAAAGGCGCAGAACAACAAACCCAAAGTCACCAAAAATAAGGTATGTAATATACATAGACGTTAGATAGGAGAGCGTTTTATGGACCCTTCCTCGTCCTTATCATCACTACCCCCAACAAGTATATACAGAACATTTGAAGTGGGTAGATTCGAAGTCTGGACCTCCTTTTGTATAAACGCGTATACCACATTACCCAGATATGGGCCACCTCACCATCCCTTAAAATCTGAGAGGTTAGTTTAGGTAAATGTATTATAATACGACAAACTGTATTTTCATAATAAATTTCAGAACAGAATCCTGCACATTTCGCTTTCTACTCTATTATAATATCTGCCACCATTAAAAATGTAAACATCCTTTTTATACCCGTTTAAAATACTTTTACTTATATTCGAAAATTCGTTCCATAAATCGTTTCACATATTATACTTGGTTAATACAAACAACTATTAAGTTTTTACGTATACGTTCAATACATATTCGTATAGGTAGACAAACAAAATTTATAAAAATACCTTTCAGAAAGGTTTATTTAGTATACGTACTAAACTACTAACGTATTACACAATGTACAGTGTAAAACATAATAATATAATCGTGGCGTTAACGAAACAACCCTATAAAAGGTACAGCTGACAAATAACGTAGTTTAGTTTAACAGCAAATGATGGTGTAACTGAATGAAATAAAATCAATCGATTCGATTAAATTTAATATCTCGGATTCAAATTAAAAATTGACGACCAACAACGTCCACGGGTTGGCTAAAGAATAATAATAATAATATTATATAGGTATAACACTATACTAAACCGTAACCGACAGCCGTAATGTATATACCACCGATATACGCTTTCCCATTACACTATAAAGGGACGAATGGTATACGCGTAGACGGGTCATTTATATGCAGGTAGGTACACCCGAACATGTAAAGGCGGATACCGTCCTTTCACCGCCTTTCGTAGGTACCTACACAAACAATATTATATCCATATGACGCCCTAAAAACCCAATCAATTAAATTAATGTTATTATTATAATATATTTTTATGATTAAGGCTGGGAATTTGTTGCCCTAAAAAAACAAAGAAAATGCATTCATGTCCCATAAATTGTATACAGTAGGTAGATATATTTTATAAAATGCACTAAAAATCTAGAAAAATATTATTTGTAGAAAATATTTCAAATACATAGAAATATGTTATTTTAATTATTTGGTACCTATAATAATTCGGTGATACTTAATTGATTTTAAGATGCTCAATTTGGCTACTTTGTGTTCAGTGGTCATAAAAGATGGCCACTACACACTATCGATCAGTATCGGTTTCATTAGTTGTATAGAATTTCATAATATACAATTAGATATTAGGTTAGAAATGCCTTTGATAAATTACAGTTTTTAATTGTTTATGTTTACTACTGTAGAATGTTTTATTGTGTAAGATTCCTTTAATATTGAAACGGAATTTATTACATTTAAATGTTCGTTCAAATCATACACATAAAAAAATGTCATCAGGCCATCTAACACGGAACAGATTTGTACCAAAACGAAAATCGTATAGTTACCATCCGAAAAAATGCAAATTGCATTGAAATTGTTGTCTTGTTCATAATATTACACACCACCCATATTATATATTATTAGGTTGGGCGTAACAACACCTCATAATATTACTATCGATCATTCGTAATACTATTATCGTCTTCTGATTTTAGCCAGCCGCCAAGCCCCATAGTCCGCCTAGAGCCAGAGCCACCATGTACGGACTGAGCAGTCTGCGCCGGGATGGAGACGTCACTGTAAACGTTATGAACAGCCACACGACAGTGAAGACCAAGTTTTTGGTCGGCCCGCTAACTTTGAAAGTCGAAAAAGAAGTAAGTTTTGCTATTATCGTTTTCGGTGCAGTCCAATGCCAATATAATTAATAGCTAATTACTTACAATGTACTCCGGAATCCGGATACTTGAGTATTGTTATTTTGTTAAATATATATATACATTTTGAACTAGACGGTTTTACTCGTAGGCGAAAAATGGTGTGGTGGAAAGGTAGGGCATTGACCCCTTACTATTTTATACTGGAGGAAAGTATATATCTCTTATGTTTATGGGTATAAGCAGTTATAAGTATGACTATTTAATTATTGAATCAGGAATAAATTACTCATTCATTTACTTTTGTATAAAATCATTGTTTGATTAAATAAAAAAAATTTGATTAACTTGTAACTTTAACCATAGTTAAAGATTTTCATCTAACGTGTACGGTGTATACCCATCACTTTTAAATTAACCGATAATTTAAGAAGCTAATAGTAACTACAGTAGACAATTCATCTAATTAAGTTATTAATTTCATTAGACAATTAACTACGTATACTTAATTAGTCAAGTTTAAAAGCTGACAAAACTAATTTTTTAACTACCTATAGTTAAAACCCAACCTTTGCTAGTAAATTATTCGAAGAGTTGAAGGGAATCATTTCCTCCCCCGATATACTCTTAGACCCAATTTGCAAATACTTTTATATTCCCCCATAACAAAAAAAAAAATAGATCCAAGTTAAGCTACTGCGGTATTACCTATACACTGCGCCGGCCTCTTGACAACAATGAAAATAACATAATATATTATATTGTATAAACTGATACGTACCTAGTTTAATCTTTGATAACCGCGGATTTACTTACCGATGAATTTTCAGCAGTATTGTAATATTATGTGCATCCATAGAATTTATATAATGATATTCAGATCAACGTAATACTATTATGCGTCCGGCACAACCTATATGGGGTACCGTATACGTACCACAGACCTCAGTACCTACCTTCAGTAATGAGTGATTTTATTGTTACCAGCGACTTCACGATCCGGGGCATCTAAATAATATTATAAGCGAAATGGAATTATATGATTTTGATTTTATTTTTCTTCCAATTTTCCGGTCCAATCATATTATTTCAAATTCCGAATTTAAACTCAAACAACTATATAATAATATGTGTATATGCATGTACTCTATTTAAATACGGTCCATTTGTAAAGGTAAAAGGACGAAATAGGCTATACTTTAATGTTTAAAATAAATACCGATCACGCGTCAATCGATTTCACAGTATTTTGATTTTTTTTTCCGTTGACGTGTTTTTGTGTTTGGTATTCGGTAAATTCGAGTGTGGTTAGAAAAAAAACTGTGCTTATAATATTCTATGAAAAACGCAGCATGTTCGTTATTTTGAATAACATTTTAATTTTTTACTTCTGTTCTACACTTTTTCGATGTATTTTTTTCGTGCCCGAATGTCATTCTAAAAAAATATTTTATTATTTTGAATTTACATAAGTGCCAAAGTTACGCACATTTTAATGCTATACTTTTATATAGACTATTATTTTAATAATAATTATTATTATATTAGTGTATGCGAAAATACATATCGTAGGCGTGCTGGCTGCTACGGACATGTTTTGCATATTTTTTACGTTTCGTAACAATAAAAATATTGTCCATTTTCATTTATCAGTCCTCCGAGCCCGCAGCACGTGCGTGATGTACATTGAATGGGAGCTTTACGCACATGGAGGTAAACTTCATTGTAGCTATACTCTGCACCACTATATATAGTGACCACGTCTCTATACTGCCTATTTATGCGTGAAAAAGAAACTAATTACACGTAATTTGTGTAGGTAGTTGAAATGAAAAGTACGCGTCTCGGTGCACAATAATGATTTGCGACGTCCGCGATGTAGTGTGTCCAGTCGTTTTTAAGTCTTTTTTTTTAAGAGAAAGGATCCGAGAAACCCATGAAAATAAATAGAGCATGCTTTAATAATGTTTCATATTGACCATTTCGATTTTTATAGTCATTCGAACTTGAACAATAGTTCTATATTAGTGTATTATTAATACAGTAATCTTAATCTGTGTACAGGCAAAATATTTTTCGGAAAATTATTTATTTTTAAAATTTAAATTAATTCATACTATTGAGTTCTACTTGCTATAACAGTATGAAATCTAAAGTTCGTTTGTCGATACAACACACAAAGAAAAGGGTCAAATGTCTACAAATATTTTTATATTAACAATTTCCATACTACCTATCAAGAAATATTTAATTTAAGTAATAGGGTCTTACGGCATAATCGATGTCTTGCACTTATTGCGAATCATTCTGTAAATCCATAATTCATAATACTTTTTATGTAGGTATAGACTACTACAGAGTATAGTATATTCAAGTACTGCATAAATGAGAAACAAATATTTTTATTTACTCCAAACTATAATTTATTACTTTTTAAAAGTTTTTTCTTAATAATAAAATGGTAGGAAATTAAGAACCAATTTTATTTTATACTTCTTATAAAATGGCTGTATAAAATATTGTTGAAGAAGGTTTTGTGAAATATTAAAAACTATTTTTTTTAGTAAAGGAAAACAAAAGGTTAAAAAAAAAGTTTTCAAAGGGGGGAACAAATACTTTAAACCATGTTTGTTATAAATAAAACATCTTAGCTTACATTAATACAATATTTTGTTAACATTTTACAAAGTAGTATCTTACTCATACGCTATATTATAATATGATGTAATCTTCTTAAGTCTTAAGTCTTCACTGGTAATATAAGTTAAACAAAAAATTGATGTTCTGTAAAATTCGACAGCCTATTATAACAGTATATTATACATTTATAACAGATACTTATATTATACTATCACGCGTCACCTTAATGTATCGTCTGAACGCCACAATATATTTTATTTTTATATTTATTGACAAGCGATAATCGGCGTGTCGCGATATTAAACTATATAGGTACCTATCCGTTTTATGAAGTTCAATATAATATTATAAAACACTTTATTTCACATATACGTCATGTTTGTGCGTCTTATTAATGTGCGTTATAAATATTACATTTTAATACGCGTGGCAGCAGCGGCGCTAGGGTTCGGCGGAAAACTTCGACGTACGTCTAAACGAACCGAATTATTAGGGAGAAAAAAAAATGAAAAAATCTCAAGTAAAAAAAAAAAACAGGAATTTTACGGCGCACCGACTTTGGGTGTAAATTGCGTTGCGGGCGATACGCCGGATAAAATCGTTTCGGGTCTGATACTTTGGAGATCATAAATCTTAACGCCACCGCCACACAGACACCACTGCCGACACGGAGACCGAAGTGCGTGTTTTCGTTAACGAGCTGTAGCCTCGCGATGCCACTGAAATATTATCAGAAATTCGTACATTTTATATTTCTATAAACTTTGCCCCGCCGGACTAGACGCGTCGTACCTATACGCAATAAAATATTTTAATTATGGTACACTATGTTATGATGCTGTGTACGGCCTTGTACGAATATTATAAATATATTATTATAATATTATTTTGTAGGTATACCCAACAAGTTTGTGTTTTGTACAACACTGTGTGATGCGTAGTCAAGAGACGCGCGCAAACCGTTTTGTGATGTTAAATTGTTGTAATTAAACAGATAAATTTACATAAAGTATGCTATGATAATTATATGTGTCTACTGTAATAGATATATTATACTACCTGTTCATATTGTTATACGTCTCTTTGATGAGACATAATAAAAACGTCCCGCACACAACTCATAATATTATTATAAACCACAATCTGAGTATAATGGTGACAATATAAAATATAGTAAATAATAATATACTATGGATATTATTATACATGTATGTGCACTGCATATTTAATGTATCACAACGTTAACATAATACATGATAAGTAATAGTAGGTATAAGTTAGGTATTCGCCTTATACTATACACCCCTATATTTATTTTATTATTTATATTAAAAGCTCCAGGGTTCAATTCCGTTGAAAAAACTATGGACGTCGAAGCTCTCTATTATTATTATTATTATTATTATTATTATATGGATGACGAAGGTGCACTGTAGTACCTAATTTATTATAGAGATGACAAAAATTATTAGTTTGCTCATTTAAAAAATGGGGGTGCTAAACACACTGAATCCCCTCCCTACAAATTGAACATACGGCTGTAGCGTTTAAATTTTTTTTTGCCCTATAAAACTTTTTAAAACTCTCCACAATGTATCATTAAAACTTACGTTTGATATACTATTGTGTATTAGCCTAAAAAGTGTGACAGTTTATACCAGGTGGGCATCCGGGGGATCGTGACTTAAGGTATATGCGTATATTTGATAGGTTATTCTAACTTTTTAAATTCAAGTCGATTGACAAAAAATTATTTACCCGTTTTTTCTACAAAATGTACCTACTTAATTATTTTAAAGCAGAAAAGAATAATGTAGAATGTACCACTTAAAGCTATAAATCTAAAAAATTAAAAGTAAATAGTTATAAATAGAAAAAAAAACTTAGAAAGTTATAAGCTTACAATAAAAGAGTAGTCGCCTACGTAAATTCTGTGAGTTCCAAGCCCTGCATATTATAATGTGTGTATCTACAATTTATTTAGGTAACATATTAGTGACTAACCGACTATTTTAATAACATAATAATGTAGTCGTGAGGCTATATATTATAACCTAAACATATTTTACAATGTACTGCAGTTTGTTAATTAATTGAAAAGTGGGCATCTCTTTTTAATCATTTTTAAACTTTTTTTTAAACTTTTTTTAAAAATTGTAATAAAGGGAAGCCATTGTTCATGTAGGTGCTCACATATAATATATTATATCTATTGCCTTTTAAATAATTACAATACCTACATCATGACCTGGGATTACTGACTTTTCAATTAATGAACAACATAATAAGTACTGCAGTATAATGTTCATATTTTTGGTATCGAATCGTCATATTAAATCTTCGAAGACTTTATTAATTCGGTTTGTCTTGTGTGTTTATAGTTTGGACGAGGTGCCAAAAAGGAGCTGAGATCGGCAACTGCTACCACCGGCGAACTGGTCGGCCGACTTAACATGAGAGTGCTTACCGGCGGCGCTGCCACCCTGCACTCCATCCGCGTTTCACCAGCCCAAAACAAGTACACGACAATGTTTTCCGACAGACAAATAATAATAATATAATATAATATTATCTATATACTTATAATTACTATTAATGTAATTTAAGTTCATTAATATTATATTATAATATACTTTATTATAAGTACTTATATAAGATTTAATAATGGTGATGGCCTAGGACATACTAATATTGCTTCACTTGATGGTACGTGGACATCAAAGTTTTGCCCAAATGTCTTGATTGCCATTGTCTTGACAATATGAATTGTATTATTTAATTTCGTGATATAACCGTGATAATATTAACTATCGAAGTAAAGTGAGTACACTACTGCAGTTAACGCTAAATAGTTCTATGGAATGAGAGAATGACCACTGGATCATTGTTTTTTCATAAGAGTCGTGGAAACAGTATAAACGCTTACACATATTGAGAATAATCAAATTATTTAACACTTAACGTTACTGTACGAGTTGTATTATTCGGTGTCATTCGGCCAAATAAAAAGTCACGTCTAAAATTGACAAGTCAAAACCGGATAAAAAATGAATCCCTATAATATCTAAATCAACCGTCGGAAATCTTCATCAAATTTAAATTTTGTATTTTAAATATAATTTGAGTGCAGCGAGCTATTATTCCCCAAAACATATTAAACATATTATGTTACAAATTCACTCGCACATTATGTAGACGAAACTTCCGCGGAATCATAATATTATAATAGAAGGTCGTTGCACAAAAACCACAACCACATTTTAAGGGCACACTATATAACAATGTACAGATAGGAATTAAAGTAGTAAGGGTACTGTAGGGGTTTTCGTACCGAAAATATGTTTGAACGTATCTTACGTTTTTCTTCACTACATTAACAACATAATAATATAATAACGGGAGCTAATAATAATAATATTATAGTATAACAATGGCGTAATCGAGGGAGCAACTGGTGGGCACAACACGACGTGCAGCATGCGGTGAATGGTTGGCGGGCGCGTGCTTTGTACATATTATCGCACCGGTTAGGGACCCAAACGAGACGTTTTTTGTCCGAACGTTAATGCTTAACGGTTTTAGCTGCAGATCGACAGCCCGGACGACCACGACAAGACTAGGGAGTACGTTGGAGAGTCCACTTGATCGCCCACCTCGTGTCGCAGAAACTGACGTTCGCCACGAAGTCCATGTTGCAACCGGTCCCGCACAAGACGGCCTATAAACAGTCTAAACCATAGTAGGGTGTAGTTGTTTTACGACCACGCTACGTGATATCGGCGGTACTGTGTTACCCATATTATATAGTATATTATTTACATCGTGTCAAAGTGTAAAAGGTCAGAATCCCTTCACCCCCCCCCAACCACCAATAACTGGGTAAAATGTACCCCATCGCCATGTATAAAATGTATAAATACCACACTTCACGGTAAAAGCGATCGAAAACTTTTAAACAACTTTTTAACTCAGTAGAATAAATGTCATTTTAACAAAGTTATAGATACCTACTCAAACGCCCAACTGTTTACGCGACTGGTTGTGCCTTGACAACGGTAATTAATATTAATACAAAAAATATATTATCTTTCAAATGCAATAGAACACAATATTAGGAATTGTATAATAATAATATTATATGCCTACTACCTCGAGGGGTTCAGCGGATTCAATTATTTCCACATGGTGGTAGGAACCTATTAACACCTGTGAATTTTTGTTCTAAGCACTTTATTGTACGAATGTAATAAACACGGCATATTACTGTCTTTAGACTAGTCCACCAGTCGTGAATAACACTATTTATCAATAAGTACTACCTATATAATATAATAATATATCATTATATCAAGCACGGTGGAAAAAATTTAATTTTTATATTGCATAATTCTTTCGGTGGTTCAACAAATAAATTATGTATCATTCATATTATATTTCCGTATTGGTCGTATTCAGTATGCTATAGTCTATATTATTATAATAAGAAGCACCCAGAATTATTCTGGGGAGTTTTACTGGTTCAACTGATCGAATGTACAACACAGGAATAGACCATAACCAATAAACTGAATAAATTAATAATATAACAACACTTACCAGACAATAGAGTAGTGTCACAATTTGTATAACCATCCCTTAAAAAATACAGTTCAGACCTTCTATAATAGCAGGTATACACTGTTGCTGTGTTATATTATAGAGGGTGAGAAAACGCAGTGTCCTAGGTCATATATAATGTATATAGGGTGTATAACAGGAATACGTGACATATTTAATTGTAGTTTTAACGTACAACTATCAAATCCTCCACCCTCATGTATAAATGTTTTGCAGCGCCACGTTTTCCAATTTTTCCGTTTGATACGTCATACCCAGTAACAGAGTAGAAGAAAAATTTAGGTTTATATAGATACGTTGTACTTAAAAAAATAAATAAAGTCCACTATATACATGTCGAAAGTTAATTATATTTAATAGGAATACATTTTTTATAAGACAATATTATTAGTTAGAGGAACACTACACCCGCATGGGTTGTGCTCATTTTAAAATGTATAACAATAATGATTGTTCTAAAATAGGTATTCTTCGTTTTATTTCACAGCTTTACAAATGCATCTTTATACAACTTTATAATTTGTATTGTTATTCAATAAATAAATAGATATTTTAGTTAAAATTACGAACAATAACATGAAAAATTATTTTTTACATGTGAACGAGTGACCTATCTATTTTCTATTAATTTTTTATGCGTCATATTAAATATTCCTTTTTAAAAGAGCTAATATATGGTGATTCTTTTATCAAAGAACATTCGTTCGGTCTTTTAAAAACTGTCTCGTTATTGAAAATAATTTTTTTTACAAAAATTTACCAAGTTCTTAAAAAAAAAAACATTTTAGTAAAAATATATTTTACTATTTTCCTTTAAATTTTTTTTTACTTTTTTCCTTATTCTATAACAGAATACTTTTCAGAGTACTTGAATTTATAAGAATTTAGGATGAGAAGTGTGTGATTATATAAATATTTAAAGTTTTTATGAGTAGAAGGGGATTCCTCAAGATGTTGTTGGTTCACTACTCATCTAAACATAAAATATTTATACTAATTAACTATTTGTCCGAAATTTGATTTTTATGCACCGGAATACTCAGAAAAATATTCTGCTTCAAAATATAATGAAAATAAAAATATATGTCGTTATTCAGAGAATTAAAAACATAACAAATAATAACTATAAAAAAGTTTTTCGCAGCTTTTCCGACTCAAAATGTTTTTACTCAGATTATCATAGCATAGTGCCATAGTGGTTGACGGGGGGGGGGGCTGTAAATGTGCCGACTTAAGGTTGATGTAAATACTAAACTGGGGCAAATGCCCCAGTTGCCCCCCCCCCCAAATGACGCCACTGGTATGGGTGCTGTCTAAGTGCGTTTTTGTTTGTTTTTATACAACGTTTTGGGGTGTCAGGGTTAAACACAAAAACGTGTCATCGGCTTTCAGATTTTTTTTACGATTACAATAATAATAATTTAACGCTCGAGGATAAAATACATACGGTTTTAAAAGGGACATACCTATATAATATAATTTATATTATTATATATACGATCGGAGGGACATGATTGCTTTATTATTTACTAGGAAACCGTTAACACCTTGTAAGGACTAAGGTGTAATAAAAAAAAGACCTGTAAAACGCTATAGCATAAAATTGGGACACGATCGTAAAACAAAAATATTGTAAATATTTTTTATCATTTTTTTTTTTTTTTTCAGAAGTGGAGTTCAACAGTACTCAATGGCTGATTAAATGTTAAGATTTTTTCACTATTTATTTATTTTTATATATTTATATTTATTAATTTATTTATTTATTAAAATACATAGTAATATACCTATTGTATTTCAAGTCTGTAAGACAAAATTTTGTAGAATAAATTATTTCCTACGCTCATATAGATTGGTTTTTTTTCTTTTTTGAAAGTATGCATTTATTTACTGTTGATCCTTCATACCTAGTTAGTTTCATCACAGCTATATTTTAATGTAATTAGATTACATGCACCTATTATTAACTTATTTTACATTTTTATGAAATTACGTTTTCACTTTATTAATAACGTAATATTTATTAAACTTAACACAATTATAATATTGTGTGTAGGTACGTGAATAAATAACATTAATTGTAGATAATTGATAATATGATGTACTCGATGTATTCACTACATATATTAATATTAATGACGTCAAAAGTAAAAACGCAGCGACAGCACATAGTATATACTATATATAGTATTTATATACGGTTTATGCCTACGCAACTGCGCCAGTTTAAAGTTAAAAAAAAGGTGGGAAACCAATTTATCAAAATACCGTTATTTTGTTATCATTTTTCATCGGTTTATTAGATTATGTTTAACCTAATTACTTACGCATATAAAGGTACGTGCACATAATACTGATACAGTGATACTATTATTATTATTATTATTATTTCAATCACAATATACAAAGTATAATGAAAAACGAAATAATATATTAATGTTTTATTCAAATTTTTTTAAGTGATAATTTTAAAAAGTGATATTTTATAATATATATACCTACTTAAAATAATCATAAACTAAAATATATTAAAATGTTGCTTTCAAAATATAAATACAATGTTTTTGTACAAAAGTGGTTAGATAGATTATATATAAAACATAAAATAACTACGCGGATATCCGTTTGAGATAATACCTAGGTATATGGCGATAAATACGAAATATATACATACCTAGTAGAATTCTCGAATTACTTTAAACTCAATTACCACTTTTTAATTTTATAACTAAAAAATTTGTGATAATTACAATTCAAAATAGTTAATATACTTAGGTGGCTGGTATACAATAATCAATATACATCAAATAAATACAATTGTATGAATGCGTGTAGGTTATACATTGAGTTTTTTAACCTATTTATTGACCTGACCACAGGAGCGGCTGAACAAATTTTATTTTATTTATTCAAATTTCTTTCAGATGCTAGGTACAATATTGTTTCTGTGTCAATTATAATATTATGGTAATTACTATTACTATAATTATTAATTATGTATTAGGTGACGTAGTCAACAAATATTTGCTTTAATTTTAATAGGGTTACATCATTTAGCGGTGATGGCTTGTGGGGCATCCTGCAGCAGTGTACGATGACGATTACTGATTAGTGTTTATAGTTTAGACGTCGTGCGACCTTTCGACCGACCGTGTGATATGGTTCGACGGCCATCATCGGAGTTGACAACGCGCCATGAACGTCAAAACGTCAGACAACATCAAACACTATAATAATATTATTATAATTCAGTGGGATAGTATTTTATACGTATACCTATATATAACCATACTGTTGTTTGTAATCCGTGCCGCCGCCGCGCCGTACCTATTATAATATAAATATATACAATATTCAACCAATATAGCAATCGCCGAACTCGTTAAAGATGTATACTTAATAATATTATGCAAATATATTAAAGTTAGAATGATGGAGAAATTCAATTACGAGACTACAATATATAAGCAGTATAATATAAATTATAATTATAATGTATAGAAAATAGTCTCATCAAACCGTAGGTATAGGTACATTTATTTTGTGCATCGGCCGAACATATGATTACTAAAATGTATAAATAGTGACTAGATAAAAATCCTGTAATAGCGTGACAAACATTTAAAAGCTCGTCCGAGGATAATCAATCTGATTTTATTTTTGACCCAAGATAGGTTTGTTACAATTTTATTAACATAGGACCTCCGACCTAGATATTTCAACGAGTTGATCCTTCGTAAAAGTTTGTAGAGAAAGATAACCTTACATAATAATAATAATACTTAGTATAATATTTTAAATGGACGTCGCATTACGCGTTGACTGCTCCTTATAGCTGTTAACACAAAGTAAATTTTACGTTCGGTAGAAGAACCCATTTTACTCTGTGTTTTTAGATTCTTAGGATATAAATTAGGACTTATGGATGTGTGTCCATTTTTCCTTCAGTGCATGTTGTCACTTTCTAGAGCAGTAAAAATTCATCGGTTTTTAACTTTGAGGGTGGTTTCTGGTAGCAAATAGCATCTAGTTGGCACATTGAGGTGTCGGAATTCACATTACCTACAATTCAAAATAATCGGGATACACAAATTTATGGCATAAATA